TTTTTTTTCTTTTCCCAGATCTAATAAGCTGTAAAATATTCACAATTCGGTATTGGATATAGTATCGGTAACAGTATGGGATACTTGTTGTAACATCTTTTATTTCCCTCCACTTATTTGTGACGAAGTAATGTATCGGTACTATAATAATATGATCATGGATCTAATTAATTTTTTTTGTTTAACCATCAATTACCGAATTGTAATATAATATATATAAAAGTGTGAACTTTGTACATACCTCTTGCATATTATATAACTCGGTTAATTCTGCTATAACTTCTCCGTTATGAGTGCTAATTCCATTACATTGTATTTTATGTGTCAAATTTTGATCATAAATCGCTGAATTGTATATTTGAGGATTTGCATTTAATTTTTCTTATTTAAATTTATTCTTTATATTTCATTGCTTTCCTTTTTATGATTCTACCTATTTCGGTTGAAAAGAAAAAATTAATTTTCATATTTTTGATGAAAAAATGTAAAACACATGTGAAGTGTCCATTTCATAAACATGCATATAATGTATGTTTTAGTCCGTTCAAGTTTCGAATCATTATTTTGCAAAAATTCTATGACTTGATAAATTAAAATCATTGTGAATTTAATAAAATCTATGTGCATTATCAGAATTTTCATCATAGTTTTGTGATTTTAAAGAGGCAGGGATTCTGAAACAGAATGTATGTAAGCTTCACGCTAAAATACGAAACCATCATGAAGATTCTGTTCATTCAGGAATAATCGTTGCCTTTATATCTAAATTCTCCCGCCTTCGAAAAATTTCTTGTCCTATTGTTATTTATCCTAACTTGTGCTGCCTTGAAATTGAATGTTTAACTTTTTTGCAAATTAATCTACTGTGATTGTAATAGAAATTTTCTCAAGCCATTATTGCATTTACAAAACAATGTTTATTATATCTTATAAACTGTTTAATAAATTTTATTCATTTTATATGCACTTTTTACTGAGCAGGATATTGATACATCAGTCATCTCATATCATTCAATTTATTTCTTCTAAACTTCCAAAAGCTACTCGAGAATCAATTTCCTGAAATCACAAATCACAAATAATACAATAACTTGGGATTGGTTTTGGTGGATTCCGTCAGTATACATTTCATTCAATGATTCGTCATCTGGTTTTTGATCAAGTTAACGCTCATACTTAAACAAAATGCTAATAAGTTATTTTATTTAAATAATTTGAAAAATGGCATCGAACCATAAATGTTGACAATTTTTCATCTCGTTCGGCGACTGTGTTTCCGTCGACACCTTCCGTTGTCAGTAATCGACTCAGACGTTTTGTTGGATTCATCCTGAAAAGTTTTTTTTCCAGTTCAGTAACTGCTCATGCTTCCGTTTCCTACATCAATTTAATCACTTCAGTGTCGTTCATTATAATCTGAATGACTTTATTTGATTAACTTAAACCAAATTACCCTCCTGCAGCCCATCCGGAACAAAATCTGTCCAAAATTTGGCTTTTTGTTCGTTCCGTCAGTTTCTTGAAATTTTCATGATTGATCATTGGAAGTGCAAAATGT